CAAAAATTGTTACCAGTAGTAAGATAAACCGACACACACTGATTTCATTTTTAAATTTTACTTTTTACTCAATGGCTGATTGTTTAAATTACATTTTAGTCGTTGAAGAATGTGTCTAACTAAAATCAAGCATATTCTTCTTTTAATTTTTTTTTTTAATTTGTTATATATGTATATATATTTTTTGAATACCTACATTGTTGTTTTTGAATAATGATGGATTATAAGTTATTGTTTTGAGAATTATTTTATCGATGTATTWTTTATATTTGTTAGGTTTATAGCTTATTTAAACATAAAAAAAAACTGTATCTTTAATTTGTTAAAATTAATTGATGGAAACACAATATGAATTGTAATATTTTAAGTCAAAGTAATTTGTACATAATATCTATACCTAYATTAAACTTCTTTTGATAAAAATGCTATTTTTTTTGCTGAGCTTTTACTAGTCTTAAATCATTATGTTTTGTTTCTAATATAAAAGTTCACTAATGAACCAATTATGCATAGATGCCAATTATATTTGTCATACAATATTGTGGAATTATAGTCACTTGCTAGCTGTTAGTTTGGGTGCCTAAATTAAGAATAGCATATTAATTRTTTAACACTTGGTTAAAATTGATTTGTTGCTCAAATTAAATTTATAAATTAAATTCTGAGTGTTTTTATGATAAGGTATAATAGTCCAGTCAGAAAATGTATGTCAAAAAATAATATTTTAATACAAAATTATTATACCGATAACATCTTTATAGTTAGTTATATATAATATTTTATCACATTAAACTAGGTATGAAATTAATACTTTAATATTAATATATCTATTGTATTGTGTTACCCAAACAATATTATTGACTTGAAATAATAATAATTAGTAATTACACTGCTGATAAATAATGTATGATAATGATAATAATTAACAGGATAAATTCTAAGACATATTGAAAGTATTATTATATGACTTAAGTTGATGAATAGACAAGCTGTAGATTCTTATTGAGATAAATTACGATCAGTAGTATATTGTATGTATTTTTTTTTTCTTTTAATTTGTGAATTAAGTTATTTTTATTATTTCTAATGTTATTTTTCAAAGTTATAAAGTCATGTACAATAGTAAAAAGTAATTATTCTTAAATATTTAAATACAGTAGCTAGACTCGATAACTTGAATCTCAAGGCAAATAAAAATAAATTGAATTAATGTTTTTTTCGAGTTAAATGCCTCAAGCACAACAAAAAAACAATTCAGTGGCGTAAAAAAATTTGAGTTATCGAGACTGGTTTGTATATATTAATACAATATGATTGTCATCTCTCATAAAAACCAAAACATATTATAGTAAATTTGAATAATGTGTGTATTTAGACTATAAATTATGTTATATGACTGATGAGTTAAAGGTATATAGTTTTTTTTGTCAGTAATTTTGTTTAAAAATTATTTTTTTTAAATGTGTTTTGGTAATTGGTTTTGGACATTGTATTTCTTTATGATAATGAATTATGTTAGAATTAAGTCTGTAGTTGAAAATTATTAGATGTTTTTGTTTGTCACACATAATTTAAGTTATACACCTTAAAAGGAATTCATATGACATTTAAATAAATTTTAAATAGTAATACAATTTTTATTTTACATTTGATGCTTGTAATCGAAAACAATTTTTTTTGAGTCAGTGTTTAAATGTTTCATTATTAAATAAAATAGTTAGTATTTTTGTTAATTAATCATGTCATTACTAGTATTTGTCATTTCTAGTAGTTTTTATAATTTACACCCTCTCAACCTTGAGGGTAAAGTGTAATTTTTTTCCATTTACTTTAAGATATTTAAAACTGTCAAAACAATATTGTGTATTATTCTTTATTATTCTCTATACTTTAAAAAAAACAAAACGTTAGTCATAGATTATAATGTTATTTGCCAAAGATTATGTAGATTTGTATTATTAATAACAAATAAAAASATATTTGAAGCATTCAATACAAACTAAAAATAATTTTGAATTCATTTTTGTGTAATGGAATGTATGTACGTAATATATATAATACCTTGATATACATATTATAATCTATAAAACATTGATATTCATCAATGATAAACTGTAATATAATAATAATAATAATAATATATAATATAAATATATAATTATACTATAATAATAATAAACTGTAATATTCAGACATTACTAAAAATGGCTAATAATTTTAGTGATACTAAACTTGCCTATCTAAGGCAGACAATGTTCAACTACTTAAATAAAAATAATTATTTTTTGTCAATAATACTCATCATTATTAATTAAGATCATTTAGTGAAACAAAATAAACAGCTGGGTTATAATTATTATTATACTTATTATACTTATTATTAGACTTATTAGGTTACTTTTAACAAAATCATACATGACAAATAATAATTTAAAGATATTATAATCGATGGAAACATATTTCTGTTATTTTAGGAAAACATATAATTATTAATTTCTATTAATGTACTATTATAATTTATTTTAACGTAATTTATTATATTGCTATGGATTTTAAGTTCTGAGCGGTTTAGTTGTTTGAAAGGCAAACTATTACATTTGCATTTAATTTTGCAGTAGCATTGTTGGAATCCTTGAAATCTCATAACATAGTAGGTAGTCTCCATTGGTAAATGGATATTCAGGGCCTTCATAAAATTTAATAATCTAAATATGATACTCATTACCTCCTCATAAACATTAAATAATATTTTGTGCAGGTCAATCGGAAATGTTAAAATGACTACAAATTATTAATTAATWAAATAACATTTTATTAAATCTTAGGCTTAACTAAATCAGTAAGGTAAATTAATGATAATGAATAAATTGTACAAAATACAATTTATAATTAATTTAATAAATCCTTGTGTATTTTAGAGTGGATATTTTTTTTTTCAGGGACCCGCACTTGACTTATTTTTTTTGCTCAAAAATTTATTTTACAGGCCTGTCTCAGTACCTGCATACAATCTCATTCACTAATCGTCATTGACGATTAACACTAAATATACTTTGGTAAACAGAAACSAAATTGCATATGCCTAAATACTACCCCTTGATAAAAACACCTCAAACACAGATTTCTATATGGTTAGTAGTGCTATATAATTTCCATACAAAAATAAAAAGTCACAAATATAGATTATAAAATACAGATCGTTGTAGTAAGTAAAAATTTAAATTTTATAAACGGCCTCATCAGCCATGGAGGCCTGGACACGCCTATGAATTGGTACCTATACTTCTACACATAAAATATAATATTAAACATAATACATATTAACATGTTTACACATCACTTCACAATCACAATTCGACGAGAATTATTATTCATTGGAAACGCCGAACGCCGAACGACAACTTACTATAAATAGGTATTCACACATAGCAATCATAATATTAGTATCATCATGAACTAGTTGTAGGAGCATCGATTAARTTAAACTTTTATAACTATCATGATCTGTATTGTATTTAATATTTTAGACAGGTTGTAATTCATGAAAGACTTGTGTTTCTAATGGACATCCGACAGGCTATCGCATCACTTTGCCAAGAGTTCGTGAGGACGAGATAGAATTAATGAATGAGAAAACCACTAAACGTCCAAAAGTCGGTTATTTCTCTCAAATACATATCAGTTTATAGGTCTGTACTCTATGCAGCCCTCCCCCCCATCATATTTTTGGCAATGGTACAGAACTAAATCTGGGCCATAAACATTTTTCTAATTTAAATTGAAGTAATTATTTGCATGAACGGCGGGCCTCAGTACCATGGGTCCTTCTGACCTCCCTTCTCCTTGTGGAGGCCCTGACTCGATGCCCAAACCACGGTTAAATATTATTAACAAGATAATATATTTAAGGTGTGTCTTTAATTGAGTTTGATTTCTCGTCCGCTGGCTCGCTTTGTCTCTTTCTAAGCTGTATAGGCTATACGGTATTCGGAAAAAAAAGCCCCACCTCTATAGGTTAAAAAAAAGCCCCGTACCAACTAAATACATAACRCATTTTTTATTATAGTGTACATTTTATAATTTGAAATTTTTAAATATGAATATTATATTTTATATTTTATATTATATGAACAAAAAACCACATTTGCAATAATAAAATGTTGTAGATACTAGTAGATACCAAGACCAGTTTTCAGATAGGTAGGAGCCTACAATAAAATATAATACCTTTACAATTTTCAAGATAAAGTCAAATGTCAATTACTTTTATTACTTATATACTTAAATTTCTTATATTTCAAATGTATATTAATATTTATAGTTTAATAAATACTTAGTATAATAAATTAGATGATACATAATAATAATATAATAATTAATGAAAAACAATTGTTAATATTAATGTTTTAACAGTTTATCAAATATTATTACCTATGACCTAAAAGTATATACAAATATTAAACTAGTATATTATAATATAAAATATTAATTGTGGTTATACTGTTATAGATACGACTGATACGAGTATATGTCAGAAGTAATGCAAAGTATGTAGGTAAGAAGTGTTCCATAGTCACACATATAGATAAATATTATTATTGGATAAAAGTATGCATAAATTTAAAAAGTTAAAAAATGTACACTATAATAAAAAATGTGTTATGCTTTTGGTTGGTACGGGGCTTTTTTTTACCGTATTTTGATATCGGGGCTTTTTTTTCCTAGATTCCGCTATGAATACGGCATACTATAGACAGCCTTAATCGGTAATTATTCATGCTCTTTACTACACACTCGAACAAATTTTATAGTGTACTTGACACTCTTATCTAATATTCAATTTACTGTGTAATTTACCAACTGTTCTTTCTAATTGCGTTTATGAATCATAATATGAAGTTTCCCAAAACGTGCGATATTTTTGTTATCTCTTATTGACTGAAAGAAAATATATCAATAATTTATAACTTTATAGTCAGAAAAAAAACTTACGATTTATCGTGGCAAACAATTTGTTTCCTAATGATTTCACTATGCTATTATTATTACCGACCATTTTAGAATTAAACATTCAATTATAAAAAGCTGTGAAAGAGTTCGTCATTCTGTAAAAAAAAAAAAAAGAAAGAGTGCGGATGGTGACCCTACAGGACATATATCGGGTTGATTCGAAATCGTAATTAATATTAGTGTTTCGCCGGACTCGTTCGACGATGACGATTTGCGCACACAAAAAAAAAATTAAAAATAATTCACGTAATCATCACGACGTGGCGGCACTGCGACAGATTCGTTTGGCGGSACGTTTCGGCGGTCGTGTGGGTGAACGTGCGTGGCGATCTCGTGTCGTTTTTGAAATTCGGTCGTAATCCCATCGGACAACGTTGGGCTGATAATATTGCCGGATGCATCACTGACTKYAGCAGCTGCTGCTGCTGTTGATTGACGAAACGATTACACATTGCACTTTTACGACATTATTCACGTTTCACTCAAAAAGTCGTCGGTATGAAGTTTTTTTTGTTCGTTGTAATAGAAAAAATTAGACATAATATCTTTATCTAACCTTCGACTGACCGGCCGTCATATACGTACTCATTGTCTGTACAGATTACAGACTACAGAATACAGACTACAGATTACAGACTACATTGTACAGACTACAGAATAASTACGACAGTTCAGCGGTCGAACCGGCCATTTTCTATAAYCCTTTTAAAAGTCGGTCAATTTTTATAACTAGATCATTCGGCTGTCCTACAGTTTTCGCCATCGTCGTTTGCCATTCGAGCATTCTTTGTCAACTCGCGGGTGAGTGATCTTTTTTTTAAACACGTCGTTTTCGACTCTATTAATGTTTATTGAACGTAATAATATGGTTTCACACTCAAGTAATTACCACTCGACACATACCGTTTAATCCTGATTAACGACCTGTCGTTTTACTTAATTATACATGATTAGAGATTTTCTTATAAAATCATTCACAGGAAAATGTAAAACCAAAGTTCTGTACTCATAATAATATTGAGGTTATATTGACCAATACGTGACTAAATATTGCAATAGTATTACCCAACTCGGACTACCTATCTAGATCATTTGATTATGTTTTTTCATCAGGTCTTATAAATGTTGACTTGAATATTTGTTTGTATTAATATAGTTTTTAATCGATGTAGTGCCATAATTAATGAGACCAAAATGTGATTTCTAGGATAATATATTACAAAGCGATAAGTGACAGGATCGGAGACAGGATGATTTGTTGATATGTTTAATTACTAATTTGTTAATATTTTTCAATAAGTAGGTTTCAAATATTACCTAGTCTATTATTTTATTAATGATAAAGGAGCTATAATGTAAGTAACATTGTTAAACATGATTAAAATTATGAAACAATATTTTGCGCCTTCTGTTCTTGAATTTTGACCTGTGTTTTTAATATTTTTTATAATCATTGACAAGTTAACATTAATAATTTTATTTTTTTCAAAAGTAAATAGTCCTGATTGTGTTTCATACAAAATGAATAAATTTATATAATTGTTCAATGTAATTAATTATTTGTTTAATTGCCACTCATTACATACCATAATTTTTTTCATCATCAGTGTTGTTTGTTAAGTGTAATTTTATCACCTAGTTTTTTTTATACTTGTTTCTTGAAGTTAATATCTATAGTATATAGCTATCTATGCAAAATAAATACATTTTTTTTTGAGATCAAGTTTGGAAGTTTTTAGTATATGTTGTAATGAAATTATAACTTTTGTTTTTATTTTTATACATAAATATTTATTATTTATATAGGTAATCTATATAAATAATAAAGATTAATATAAAAATTAATATAAAAGTTGTTTGACTGTTAAAAAATCACTAAGAATTTGAATTTTTCAAATTTAAGTCCTAATTAATAAAAAATGTGTTCAAAATGTATTTTTTTTAAAGTAACACAGTGAATGTATTTTTTTCAGAACATAGATTTTAACTTTTAAATTGTTAATAATTAACACATAAGTTTCATTAGGCAGTGGCGCAACTAGAACTAGGTATAATATTGACGGGACTGTAGCCCCCACTTGATATTACACGAAAAGTAACTCGTGGAAGATTGTCTCCACACTTCTCATATATTTTCACTTATAAATATAATAAAAAAATTTTTCTAGTTCACAATTATAATTTACTACCTGTTTATTATAGTTCAGTGCATAAATTGTAAAATTTTGTATTGTAATCGTACTGATGTACTGGCATAAGTTTGTTTTCTTAAAAATAAATACRGGAATTATTCCTTAGTTATTTCCTGATTTACTTAGTGATATAGCATATTTATCATAGGCAATATAAAATAATTATTAATAAAATAAAGATCTAATTATTTAATCATTCCCCCCCCCTAAAAAAAAAAATATATATAAAAACTAGAAATAACTGAATTTTATTAGATTCATTAATATTTAAGGAAACAATTGAAAAATGTATTAATTTTTTCTAATTAATAATTGTTAGGTAATCAAAAATGGTTGTCTTAAAATTCCAATACAATTTTTAAACAATATTCTTATTCTTCGATATTCATTTAATGAGTTTAATATGTTTTATTTTGTATGCACTTTTTAACTTTGAGTATATTTTGTTTATATTTTAGGTCCAAAATAAATTTAATTTGGATATTGAAGATTAATTCAAGATGGCACCTAAATCAATATTGGTTCAAAATCGAAAGAAGTCTTCTAAGAATAACATCTATATCAAAAAACTTAATCAAGCTTTGGCAATCAATAATAGTTTACGTAAGCGTATTGATGAGTTATCAGAGCAAAATAAACAATTATCAACCACTAGGAATAACTTATCATTGGAGAAATTGTCGTTACAAACTGAAAATAACTCTATTAGAAATTCTAATATTCAACTGACTGCAATGCATCATATAATGAATAAAAAAATTTGTGCATTAGAACAAACTATTCAAAGCTGTATACCTGCATTAGTAACTATGTCGCAATGTATCCCATCTATGTTAGAAAATGTACACGAAATGAGTAAGTTTGAAATCAAAGACTTTAACAAGGAAAAGAAAGAAAAACAAACAAAAACTGTCAGACCTATGATTAATGGTCATACCATCACTCAACCAGCTGTTTCAATTAGAAGATTTGATATGTCACCTATCATTGAAAGTCCTAGAAATCCTAGTACTGAACAAACACGGCATAGTACTGAACAAACGCGGCATAGTACTGAACAAACGCGGCATAGTACTGAACAAACGCGGCATAGTACTGAACAAACGCGGCATAGTACTGATCAAACGCGGCATAGTACTGAAGAAACACGACATACTACTGAACAAATGCGGCTTAGTACTGAACAAACGCGGCTTAGTACTGAAGAAACGCGGCATACTATTGAACAACCACAGCTTAGTACTGAACAAGCACGGCATAGTACTGAACAACCACGGCATAGTACTGAAATAGCGCGTCATAGTACGGAACTAGCGCGGCGTAGTACTGAACTAACTCCAAAAAGACCAAGAAAACTAAGTTATCGAAGTTCACCACAATGCAAACTTAATATGGAACCATATGTAAGATTAAAAGATGTTGCAGCCATGTTAAAAAACTCCAAAGCTGTTCCTAATGAAGAAGGTCCTCAACGTCGACTAAATGAAAGTTTAGGTGAAGGTCCTAGTTGGTTGCATACTCCAGAAAATCAAACACAAATTTCTAACAACAGTACTGATGTAATAGAAAGTGTTCAAAGTACTCCTAGTTCAACGACAGTCAATGAAGTTCAAGCTGATGTGACAACAATTGCTTCTACTTCAACTGGTAATATGGATAATACATTTGGCGGAACTGAAGAACATCGCAGTGATTTGATATCTTCTATCGATTCAAGTTTGATGAGAAACGTAACATGCCGAAAACGTACTATACGATCAAGTGAATCAAGCAGTTCGTCAGATATTGACGATTCAACTTCTTCATCAAGACCTAGTAGATCTGCCAAAAAGAATATCAATTATAAAGAAAAGAGCCTGGGCGGTAAACTTAGAAGATAATTATTTTAAGTATCATAAAACCTATTAAGAAATTGTTTATGACATTTAATTGTGTGTATTATACTATTAAATGTAATTTTTCATTTTTTCATTATTAGTCAACATCAGATATTTTAAAACTAATTTCGATATGCTGTATATTATAGTTGTATGTAAGCTTCACAAGATGTGTATTTTTATTTATTACTTAAGAAAGTAAATATTATATAAATCAGTTTTTTAAATATTAAGCAAATTCTAATATTTCAGAAGATAATTATATATTTTAAGTATCATAAAACCTGTGTATGTTGTTTAGTTTTTGTGTATTAAACTTAATATGTAACTTACTATTATATACAATTTTTCATACATGCATATATATATATATATATATATATTAGTAAAGAATAGTTTTTTTTTTTTTGATTTATTATTACGATTTAGTATGCGTTTATTCAATTGTAAACATCATATTACATTTATTTTATTTTACTTAAGAAGGTAAATATTAATATAAAATCAATTGACAATTATCAATATCAAGTGAATTCTAATAGTTTGCAACAAAAAATATCAACTATAAATAAAAAGGCTTTGGTAATAAACTCAGAAAATAATTATGTATTCAAAACATCATTAAATGGATTTAATTAAAAGAAACTGTATTTATAGTTGATTTAATTGTGTCCATTACATTATTACATGTAACTTTTCATTGTTATTTGTCACAGTAATTTTTTTTTACTTATTATGATTTATTGTATGTTTCAATTGTAAATTATTTAATTATTTTTTTTTTTTACCATATAGATAGGTATCTATTATATTTTATTTTATTAAAATAAGTTAATATAATTCAAATCAGTTCATAAATATTTAGCTTTAGTGGATTTTAATAGTTTTACTTTGTTTGAATTCCAATTTGTGTATAAGAAAGTAAAGTATTTATGTTAATGTATTATGTAACAAGRGTTAAAAATTATATTGTATGAATTTAATAAAATGTAATATTCAATAAAATTCTTGATTTAAATAGTTATCTATTTTTCATATAATATAATATGTATATGATTGTGTTTTAGAGTACTATATTTCAGATAAATTACTTGAGTAAACAAATAAAAATTAGATACATATTAAGTTATTAATAAATATTCTAATTAATGCAAAATTACAAACATATTAATAATAAATATTCGTTAAATTGAGTTAAAATAATTTATACTAAGGTGTATGATATATTTATCATAATATTATGTTTATTTTTTTGATTAGTTGTTATGGTACTTTTCTCCTCTTCAATGTATTAACATTTTATTATTATTATTATTTTTAAATATATGGGTAGACCTGCATTTCCAAGACTACTTATACCTACTTTTAATATGTAAATAACATAATGTGGTTTGGGTCTAATATGGTTTATCATTTTTTGATTAATATGAGTTTTGGTCATTAAAATTGTGTTACTATATTATAAGTAGTAGCTGAGATAAAAGACCTAATGTTGAAAACTAAATCACTAATTAATGTATTTTTAAAACGGCTAATCTGATAATTAAAATATATCATTGAAAGTTGTAGAAAATGAGATTGCCACTTTTAAACCCAAACCATAGCATTTATCAAATCTAGGCTTGTATTTAGGTATTTGAGACACATTGTATAAACCATGTTAACTTATAWTACTTAATTTTAAATATTAGTATTGAGGGTATTGATAGCTAAATTGTAATTATTTACAAAATAATAGCTTTAAATATTTATGAATTATTGTACTATACAGGTATATAGAGTTGCTTGTTGTTATTCCTAGTTAAATACTTAATTATTATATCTAATATTTGTTTACTAATTATTTATATATTATACATTTAAGATAATTATTAAGATTGTAACAATTGCTGACCTGTTGCGTTGACATTAATAATTAGAAAGTTTTTTGAAAAATGTATTAAAAATAATTCAGAAATTTTTTGATACTTTTTTTTCAAGTTGTAATTAGTATAGTATTGGGRAAGGATCTTCTAGTAACTATGTCACCATGCTATTTTTACCAGAGAAAAATATGTATATTTATAGGTTACTTATTCATTTCTTTTTTTTCTCAAAAATCTAAGCCTTTTTGATTCACCAAACTAACTAAAATTTGTTTAGCCTTTTTGTCTACACATTAGTCGGCAGTTTAGCTCTTTAGAATTACTATTTTAAAATGATAAAAATGTTTGAAAAACATATTGCTTGGCATAACATTAATGATTATTAATTTAATCATGGATTGTTACCTATATCTTATAATATATCTTATTAATAATACAATATATTTATAATAAAATATATTTATAAKATAAATATTATAATAATAATAATAATTTATAATATAATATACCTAACTCTGTTTTTAAAAATAGTTTTCTAGTTATATCTTGAGTAGTGAAGAATATGTATTTTGTTGAATAATATTAATAAATTATCAATTTAATATAGAATAACCATAAATCATAATTATGCTATATTGATATAAATATATATAAAGGATACTATATATTGTATAGCCAATAGTATAATCTATTTAATAATATCTAATAAAATAAATAATCAAAATAATTGTGTCTTATTTTTTGTATTCCACAATTTGTCATGTCTTAAAAATAATAGTTTTAAGGGGCTTAACTGCTGTAGGGTTTTAAGACTATTTCTATGAAAAGAACATAGAAAATAGCAGGCTATCTGCGAGAAAAAATTAAGTTAATGAAAATTAAATTTAAAAAAGTTAAAATTAACTTAACTTTTAACTCGTTTATGCCCAGGTCTGGATCTTTCCTTATTTAAGGAGAAACAGTTAGGCAATTTCTTAACTGATATCACAACCAACGATTCACGTGTTAGTCGTAAATAATTTTTAGTGTGAGTGGGGTACTTATACAAAGACGAAAATAAAAATAAAAGTTTAAGGAAATTTAAATTTTTTTAATCTTTATTCTCCCAAAATAGATTTTGTTTTTTCAAGACCCATTTTGGTTACTTGAAGTTTTCACAAAATATTTAAATTATAATTTCTTACACATATAATTTATAAATATTTTGATTATTTTCGAGGTATTTATACTTTATAGACTTTACAAATTTTTAATTATTAAAACAAATTATATTATTCGTGGATATACTTAAACCTTTTATGAATATTATCATTATTTTATTCACACAATGATATTTTAAAATGCAACGTTTTTGACAAAATTTGATTGTGCGAGCTCAACATCACTGACAACACATACAWAACATGACTGTAATATATTCGGCAGATTGGTTACCTATACTTCCTCATTTTCTTCTTCGTAGAATGTCGTGTTCAAAAAAAATCGACCGGAATGTCGAGCATAATCGTATCAATGGACACKAGCGGCGGAGGCACAAACGCTTCGTGACACGCTCAACATATAATTATACAATAAAAATATCATATCGTATTCGGGCGCGTGTGTTACCTATTAGTTATTAGTTTATTACCTACCTACCTTTATATTTTTCTAACGACAGCAAACATACACGGTGGCGTATTTTATACACATAAAATATGCGCATACCCGTGTTATTATGTACCGCAGTTGGATGTCGTGCAGCACAAGTCGTACATAATATTAGGTTGTATCTGTACGACGACATAGTAGGAACAGAACCAGCTATATATTGTTCGTACACGGCATTCGATGTCTTTAAATATTAACGACCGACCGCCGGTAAATGGGCGTACGTCCAAACTATCATTACGCGACACTATTTAGGTCATCCGGCTGTACAATGATTACAGCTGATGTACATATTATAATATATCAACTATATATTTTTATGCAAGCACGAGGCACAGAATTTAAAAATTCAACACATTGCTATATATATATATAAATATGATATCGTACGATACCTGTCAATGTATATATAGTAGTATATGTATACCTACGCGTTTGTATATTATGTTTACCTATAATATCGTTTGACTGACCACTCCTACAATATTTCGTCGCCATCGTGGTAGGAAAACGTCCCATGTGAAAAACATGACTTTTTAGTATAATATAGAGGAAAAACAATCAATATTTTAAAATTAACTATTATTGGATAAAAAAAACGTGATGAAATTCATATTTTTAGATCTTATTAATACGTATAGCTATAGGTAAAGGTATACCTTATATATATATGTCGTAGGCATATAGTCGAATCAGGCATTTTATTAAATGCCTAGGCCCTAGGCATATAGTTAAAGAATTTAATGTTTATGTAATTTCACTAAATGCCTATTTCATGCCAGGCAAATAATAAAAAAACATTTTGTATTATTT